CCGCGAAGGACCGCCTGGGAAGAAGGACTACGCCCCCCACAATGCACCGCGCCAGAAGAAGCTCACTTCCGGAGCGGGGGCGAGTTTATTCCGGCCCCTTTTTAGGGAATCATGACGGCCCCCGTAGAGCAGATTCTTGCCTTCACCCGGCTCGTACGCGGCGGACAAGAGAAGCGTATTCTGTTGGGATGCGGCTGCCTGGATTGCCCCTCACAAAGACCCAGAGCCCTGACTTGGGCGGGGTGGAGTGGGTGGGGCCTCCTCATCAATGCGCAAGCGCCTTAGTCGTCTGCCGTGGAAACTACAAGTCCCATGGTGCTTCGGACTGAGCTCGGCCTCGCGACCTGGAGCGCCGCCTAATGGAAAGATCCGGTTGCTGCCGACCAGGACGCCTGTTTTCCTGTTAGCCTGGGGCTGTCCCCTAATCCCGAGGCTGGGTTCTGGGCGTTCTAGTGGGCAAAACCCAGGCTTCCAAGTCTCTGAGAACCCTCCAGAGCCTTAGTATGCGTTGGGACTTTACCCACTAAGCCACTGCCTACATTGACAGACTTACTGACATAAACAAAGTCGCCAAACAGGTGCCAACTGTTGGCAGGGCACCATGCAAGGAGTTGGAGACCCTTTAAGGGGCCAGACTTATCAGGTCCTTCCATTCTGGTACCTGACTACCTATAGTGGTTGGGGGCTTACAGAGAATAGATGTGAATGCACCCGAATAATGTCTAGTCATGGTAATAAGCGCCCCAAATGAATGAGCAGAACACAAGAGAAGATGCAGATAGAGGCCAAATAAGTCTTGGGAGAAAACCAAAAGCAAACTGCCATGGAGTCAATGCTGACTCATAGCAACCCTGCAGTGGTTCTTAGCCTTCCTAATGCCTTGACCCTTTCATACAGTTCCTCATGTTGCGGTGACCGATCCCCCACCATAAAATTATTTTCGTTGTACCTTCATAACTGTCATTTTGCTACTGTTATGAATCGGGTCACCCATGTGAAAGGGTCGTACAACCCCCACAGGGGTGGAGACCCACAGGTTGAGAACTGCTGCCGTATAGGGGCAAGGTAGAACTGCCCCTATAAGTTTCCAAGAGTGTAACTGTTTTCAGCAGTAGAGAGTGGTTCTGAACTACTGACCTGGAGGTTCACAGCCACATGCATAACCACTATGCTGAAAGGGGTCCTGTCTTGAAAGAAAGGATAGCAAAAAGCTTAGGCAGACAAAAGATCATCCCTTTACAGCTCGGTGTTGTGAGTCTGAATCACTCAGTGGCAGTGAGTGTGGGGAGGCCCAGGAACCTGTTTGTGAAGTCAAAGGGTAGGGAAGCGCTCAGCTCTGCCCTGGAAGAAGACAGTCTGGGTAGTAGAAGAATGGAGATATGCCAAAATGGGCCGAATGAAAGGATTGGAGATTTTATGCCAGCGACCAGTAACCATTGAAGATACAGACTGGATTTGTATTGAAAGCAGACACCTACTCCCTCCCTGTACTTTTCTGAAGGGAAAATGTTTTAAAGAGCCCAAGAAGGAACAGATGTTGCCCTTTCTGTCATTTCTTCAACCTTTCTCCTAATTTGCCCTTCCCATTTTCTCTCCTGATAACTGGCCACAGTTATAAAAATGAAGCATAAACCTGCTCCAACTCATAGTGACCCTACAGGACAGAGAAGGCGTCCTAGGCTTTCCAAGGCCGTCATAAATCTTTACCGCAGCAGATCACTTTCTCTTGCTCCCATGAAGCCAACTACCTTGAGATTAGCAGCCCAATGCCCACAAAACCCACAGCGCCACCAGGGCCCCTTGTGAATTATTTTTTTTTCCCTTGTGAATTATTAAGAAGTGGATTTATACATTGTTTCTAATGATTTGATATATAGATTAAATAATGATGGCGACCTATGTACAAATATGTTCTATACAATCGATGTCTACATTGCTATGAGCTGTAAGAGCCCCCAATCAAATGATCTTTAAAAAAATAAATAATAGATTAGGTAGCAGAAAAGCTTGAAAAAACTAACACTTCAACTATTCTTTTCCTAAATTTGTTCTTTTTTTGTTACTTTTTTTTTAACCTTTCAACATTTTTAAAAATCATTTTATCACAATCCATACACACATCAATTGTGTAAAGCGCATTTGTACATTCATTGCCCTAAATTTGTTGTTCTTGACTCAAAAAGAGACCCATGCTTCAAATCTTTAAGAAAAAAAAATGAGACTGGGGGAAACGTTCTAGTCCCAGAATCCAAACACATCATTGCACTTCTATTTACAATGAGTGTGATTCTTGCTTTATTTGTAGGGATTCCATTGACCCTTAACAGCAGTGTCTCTTTCTGGTCTCCACAGTTGACGTATACATTCTGAACCCCTTTCTTAGGGTTTCGGGATGGTTTTCCCCGGGTTTTGCTTCTCAACACTGATAGAATCCATGCGGCAGAAGCACTTTTATATGTCCAGGTAACTTTCATGAGGGAAAAGGAACTTTTGAGTAATAGTACACTGTACCCCTGGAAAGCATGCAAGGCCGCCCGGGGTCGGCTGGAGAGTTCGAGACCGAAAATGGCTGCCCCTGGGGACCGCAGAAAAACCATGAAGAAAATAGCCGGGAAGGAGGAGCCGCAAATCAAATACAAAAGCACAGAAGCCAAAAAAATAAGCGCCTGCCTCTGTTTCTGCCCTTTATCCCTTCCTACCCACACTTGGTGGGCGTGGTTGAGGGTATCGGCCATTCTTAGGGCTGCGTTCAGGCGCATGCACGTATGACGTAGTGTTGCGCCGGTGGCTTTAGTCTGCGCATGCCCAGCTTTGGGTCTTTCCCATAGGTTTCTAAAGTGTGCCTGATTCCTTTCAACCCTCTTTTTCTGTGTGGCATGGCCAGCTAATTTTTGTTTGGCATAGTCATTCAGTGGAGACGACCCCCCCCTCTCCCCTAATCTTCCTACCTCTCAACTTCAAACCCAGAAATGCTTTCTCTGGTGTCTGTAGCCTACCGTGAATGAAACGCCTTTATTTTGCGTAAATTTTTATCCAAAGATATACAGCGAAATGCAAACCGTTTTATGGTTTAAACTTAAACATATATCCAGAAGAGCATACTGTCTGTTTGTTTACATTTTCATTGTCTTATAGCTACGGATATAGGTGGACTTCTAACTTTCTGAAAATTCACTTGGTGAGAGGCCAAATTGATATCCTTTCTTTTGCATAGCGCATTAAAGAATAAGCACAAATAAAACTCTTCCTTGCAGTAAATCAGATCATATTCTAGTTTACACTTCATCCTGCACTAAAAACCTATCTAAAAGACATTGCTTTCTCCCTACCCCCACCCTCTGTTTTGTCATTTCTGGCGAAAGGCCAAAATCTCCCAAATCTCTCGGCTTTTGATCTTGCCTCCCTTACAATGTGTTCTTCAAAGGACTGCCAAGGGATATCTGATTATGTCATAACCCTGTTTGAACCCTCCTGGACCTGCAAGACCCCACATAGTGTGGCTATTACCCATCTTTCCCATTCCTCCCTTACATCACCGCCGTGGGTTTTTTGTTTTTAAACAAGGAGCCAGTATAAAGTTTAATCTATCATGTGAGCACATAGAATAAAATTATGCCAAAGTTTTAAACGCACATCTCAAACTGTTGTGAAAAGCCAACATCTTCTCCACATTATCCTGTTCACAGCTTTACTAACAAATAAGTAAAAACTGCCTTTAGGTGGTTGACAGTGACCACAGAAATGTGCCTAAAAGTCCTCGCAAATTGAGGCAGAGAGCACACAGGCAAGAACGGAATGACAAGGATTGCTGGCATGCTTTTCCCTGGAAATCCTCTTACTTTGAGATGCAGTCATCTAACTTTCGTCTTTGCTTTATTTATTTTTAAATAAAAATAGGCACACTTCTGCCTCCAGTACCTGACCCTTGACACCTGATGTAGGAACAGATACCGGCAAAAGCCAAGCGCACCGGGAGACTCAGAACCCAAGTTCTAATTCAGTTGACACAAAAACTTAAGGTGAGGGGGGCTGTCCACTGGTGAAAAGTAGGAAAGCAGGGACTCCCACATTAACAGACTTTTTGAGAGGCTGACTTCATCTCCACACTTCACCCCAGTAGGGATCAGGTCTGCACAACATCACAAACAGCCCAGGCCTGCAGCCTGTGCTTTGCGACAGACCAAGTGATCTTTGCAAATGCCAATCTGAGCTGGTCCCAGAAAGATTCTTTTTCCTGGGCCACGTGACTGCCCTCATCTTGGAACAAGGAGCTGGGAATGAAAAGCATTCTATTAATAACCCAAGCCCACTGCCAGCAAGTCGTTTCTGACTCACAGTGATCCGATCTAAGGTTTCCAAGACAGTGGACAGCCTCATCTTTGTCCCGCGAAGCCGCTAGTGATGTGGCCTAAGCCAAACCCACATTGCTACCCAGCCTCTGTGCATATTAGGGTGCTAACTGCACGGCCAGCAGTTTGAAAATCATCAGCCATTGGGACCCACCAGCTGCTCCGCGGGAGATGAGGCCGTCTGCGCCCTACAGGGTCGCTATGAGTCAGAATCGACTCCATGGCAGTGAGTTATTGGTTGATTGATTGCCTGGCCTACTGTGTCAGACCGAGTTAAGCTATTAATCCAGTGAATCATTAGGAAAACACCAGTTGTCCCAAGGTGGACTGACTCATCGCAATTCCGTGTGCGTTAGAGTATTGAGTATCTTCCCCATTTTACAAGTGAGGAAATCAAGGATCCAACGGCTTGCATTTGCCCGGAATCACACCCAGATTTTATGTTCGCCATAAAATTCGCAGCCCGCGGCCGACTCCAGTGGCCGAACCACAACTCCCGTGGGGCTGTGCGGCAGCATCGCGAGAGTTGGCTTAAACGCGGCGGGCGGGAACGCAAGGATGCGGGCAGCTCGGAAGTAGGAGGCCGGGGCGAGTGGAGATCGGCGGCGGACCACAGGCCGGCTGGGACGATGGCTGGGAGCTTTAGCCCAGACGGCGACCCTACGACGCGCACGCTGCTGCGGGGCGTGTTGGACTCAGCGGACCCGCGCACCCCGCGGCGGCCCCGGAGCCCCGGGCCTGGGTACGCGAGGCCGCTGGGTGGGGCCTAGGTGGGAATCCTGCTGGGAAAGAGAAACTGATCCTCGGAGAGGGGCGGGACCCAGGGCTCTGCCACCCACCAAAAAAGGATTTCCTCTACCTGGGGGCAACTAGGGATAGACGCTCAGAATTTGCCCCTCTATCATGTTCTTAGCCCCCTTCGCCCAGTCAGCCCCAGGGTGTGTCTGGGTATCTACCCCGGGCTTGTGGCCCTACTGTCTCCAGGGTTCAACCTGGGCCGCAGTCATCCTTCGCCAGGGAGCCGCTAACCCGGTCTGGCTAGGTAGGCGAGCTCTGAGCTTATTACCCAGGGTGTGGACCTGGCCCAGGCCACCTCGGGTCAGTTCTGGTTCTTGACGGGCAACGGATTGAGTTGGAGCGACCGGGGCTGTGGAGGTGGTAGTCAGACCCCGAAAGGACTGAAAGATACTTGAATACCCTTCTTGCAATGTGGAACTCCCTTCTGTGGGAGTCTGTCAGCCCCTTTCTACATTAATTAAATCCTTGGCTTCCCATTCCCTTCTCCCCACCCCCTTCACCCACACCTCTACTGACACAGGGGCTTTGAAGGGGAGAGGGGGGGTGATTTCCTGGAGCCCAGGACGGGGGCGGCGGGGAGGGAGAATCTGTTGGGTAAGCGTTGGCATGTTACCCACAAGGCTGTGACTCGACCTCACTGGTTTGGGTTTTTAGTTTGGCCCTGAGAGACGAGCCCGAGTGAGCAGCTAATGCTGACTACACACCAAGAGGTTGACTTGTGAAGGATCTTGGCAGCCCTTGCCAGGAGCCAGGCCTGTCAGCGGCAGCTGGCTTGGGTTTGGGCCCTGAAGGTAAAGGGCTTCAGGCCAAGACACCTGATGAAGGCTTGTCTCCTCATCTTCTAGCCCCCCCTCCCCACACAGTTCTCAGGGCTCCCGGACCCTGCGCTCCCAGACCCTTCGCAGTGCCCAGAGAGCCCGGCTTGAAACACTTCCCTCCAGGGGTCTCGGCAGCCACACCAAGGCATCTGCCCGACCGCAGGGGCATTCTCATGGAGCCAAGGTAAGCACCCCTGCTCACTGACCGCTATGTGGGCCTGCTGCCTTCAGAGCTCTGGCTGTGCCCTGGGGCCCACCAGGTTGCTTGGCGTCTTCATCAATAGGCTGTTGGCAGATGGCCCCACGTTCCAGCCAGTGGGCACTTGGAGGAGCAGACCCCCCGCACCCTGTTGAAGAACATCCTGCTGACCGGTGAGTGTGTGCTGGCCTGCTGGTGGCACACCAGACCTCCCTCCCTCAAGGTGGCCTGCCCTGCCAACGCCACCCTCTTCCCGCTTTGTCTGCAGCCCCGGAATCTTCCATTGTGAGACCCAGATCAGCTGCAGGGACACCAGTGCTGGCACCACCAGTGGTCCAGCCCTCCAGACGGGAAAGCAGTCGGGGCAGGTGTGCAGTGAATTCCCTGCTGGGCTGCTCTGATCTTGGGGTCTCTCTGAGGGGGTGGGAGGACCCCGGGTGGGAGGGTCCCCAAAGTCAGAGATTAGCTTCCTGGCCTGAGACCAGCCCCATCCTTGTAGCTTGGACCTGCAGCTCCCTGAGCTAGAGCCCCCCACCCCCCTGGCTGTAGGCGTGCTGGCCCCCGGCAGGAGGAAGCAGCGGCTGAGACTGTCGGTGTTTCAGCAGGAAGTGGACCAGGGACTGCCCCTCTCCCAAGGTGAGGCCCTGACCAACCCATTGCTCACTCCTGCCCACCCCATGGGGGGGGGCTGAGGGGTGCCCTCCCAGGCTTGGGGGCCTTACCACAGTTTCTTTTTCCTCCTCTTGCCCCGAACTGCACTGACAGAGCCTCCCAGGAATTCGGATCCCCCGTCCCTCACCAGGTGCTGTAGCCCCGTTCTGGAGGGAGGGGGGCAGAGGGTTTGTGCAAAGACTTGGGGAGAGACAGACGGATTGACTGGTGAATCTGGCCTTCCGCAGGTTTGGCCTCTTGCAAGGTGTCTGGTCCCAGAGTTGTGAGCCCCGGGGCAGGTGGGAAAACCGGGCCTAGTCAGGCACCTGACTCTGCGTTTCCATCAGTTCCCTCAGCCTCACGCCGCTTCGGTCACAGTCTGTGAAGAGGCCAGGTCTGGCCCGCCGACCTCCCGCCCGCCGAGCTGTAGATGTGGCAGCCTTCTTAAGGGATCTGCAAGATAGCTCCACCACCTCTGGGGCCTTGGCTTCGGCAGGTGAGCCTGAGCTCTTCCCTCAGACAGCTGCAGGGAGCAGGGTCTGTGTGGCCAAGTTCCCACCTGCTTTCTGCCTGTGGACCCAGGCAGAGTCAGTCAGGGAGGGGTTGTTTGTCTCCCACAGTAGGCGTGTGCCTTACTGCTCTGGGCTGAGGGCAGGAAGGTGGGTGGCATCAAGGCTGGAGCTGGAGTTTTTGAAGGGGCTGGGCTTCCAGCATCAGCTGGCCAGTGAGCTGACCTGGGAGGCAGATGGCAGGAGGTTAAGTCCTGTTCACCAGGCTGCGAGGAAGGTTCTGGGCAGAGGGAGCAGCGTGCCGACGGAGGACCCCTGGGTGAGCCATTTGTGTGGGGCAGAGACTGCCTTTGAGAAGCCGATGAGACTTGGGGTAGGCCTGGCCTCTGCCAAGGTCAGCTTTGTCTCTGTGGGCTACTTGGGACGGGCTCATGGAGCCCTGGCGACTGTGGGTAGTGTTGTCGGTACGCCTGAGTCCCAGCTGGTCCTTGATCCACAGGTGACAGCCACAGAACCCCTGCTGCCACCCTGCTAAAGGAAACTGTGCTGGAGGACACCCAGCCCTTCTCCCCACCCTTGGTTGGCGGCTCCTTCAAGGTGCGCCTCTCCCTGCCTGCTGCTGCTCCCGCTCCCACCACTTCCCCTGGGGCTGCAGGAGCCCAGAGGCTGCGAGGCCGCAGGACCTGGAGCGGACGGTCGCTGCGTAACAGCCGTGAGTATGCAGGTCAGGCAACCCGGAAGCAAGCTCAGGATGGACAAGAGTTGTCAGGAGTGCTTCTTCCTCCTCTGGCCCCTGTGTGCTTAGAGCCTCCAGCCTGTGGGTCCCTCTCCCATCCAAGTACAGGGTCAGGGTGGGGTCGGGAGACTGCCCACTGTGTTTAGGGTATGCCTCCTCAGGCCTGTTCTCCCCTGGGGTGGACGGGGCCCGGCCTTTAGTTCTGTTGCGCTTGTTGTGAACTGGGAAAAGGTGGCGCACTGGCTTGAGCCTTCACTGAGCTCCCGCCTGTGCCCTCCTTGCCCCTTCATGCAGGTTCCCCGAAGCCCTCCCAACATCCGACAGGCCGGCTGGAGGCGGCCAGCCCCCTGGCCGTGGGTTTCCCGAGCCTCCACAGTGGTCTCTCTGGAGAAGACGATGGAGCGGAGCCCTCTGGAGACGGGGCTGACAAGCACGCCGAGGAAGGGACAGGAGAAGACGTGAGCATGAGGGCCACCAGGGAGGTGGCGGCAGGCGCACAGGGGATTGCTGGGGCTGAGGCATCTGAGCAGATGGAAGCCTCCGGAACCCCTGAGGCTGTGGAGCCTGAAGGATCTTCCTGGCGTGCGGATTCTTCTGTCAGGGCAGGTGTGGACGGGGCAGGGAGTGGTGGGGGCGCCAGCCTGGGCGGAAGGGCACTGGTGGGTTGGTATTAGCGGGCAGAGGTGACTCGGGGTGGCTGGCTGGGGCTGGCTGAGCCCTTTGAGGAACATGACAAGGAGGCAGAGGCTATGCAGCGCCAGGTGAAGTTAGGGCGGAGCCCCTGTGACCTTGGCTTTCTCTGCAGGAAGTCCCCAGTTGGCCCCCAGGGCCCCCGAGTCTCTCCAGGCCAGGCAACTTCATAGCGGTATTGAGCCAGCCCCGCCAGCCAAGTAAGATCCAGCCCTGTGCTCTAGGGAGGGTGGGAGGGCAGGCACAGAGACTAGCCTTGGGCAGTCTGGTCGGTCCCACGGGCCCATCCCCTTCCCCATAGAGATGAAGGGCATTGGCCATCGTGGCTCCTGCCTGCAGGGACGTGGAGGTGCTGGGGAGGGCTGCCTGGGAGAGTCAGCACAAGCGGCCCCTTGGAGACCCGGAGGTCCAGGGCCCCAGCAAGTACGTGTCTGTGTGAGAAGGCTGGGTTGGGACGTCAGGTCCAGGGGTCTCCACCATCCTCAGCCAGGGGGTGAGTCCCCTTTGGGTATGGCTTTAGGCCCTCCCAGGAGCCCACAGCCCCTAAAGGCAGCAGCCAGAGTGCCTTGTCCTTAGACAGGGGTCTCTTTGGGCAACAGTGGAACCACTTCTGACCACTCTGGCCTGGCCCCAGGCTTCCCCCCAGGCCTCGAGCTGCTGGCCCCAGGCCCCGTCCAGATCCCTACAAGGCTGGGCTGAGCCACTATGGGAAACTCTTCAGCTTCTTGGCTAAGATGCCCTTGGAGAAGGCGGCTCTTGAGATGGTGGAGAAGTGGTGAGTCCTTGACCCCGAGGGCAGGGAGAGCCCTCCAAGAATGCCCAACAGCCCACACACCCTGCTTGCCCCCACCTTCTTGGCAGCCTGGACAAGTACTTCCGGCATCTCTACAATGACCTAGAGGTCTTTGCTGCTCACGCAGGACGCAAGACCGTGCAACTGGAAGACCTGGAGCTGCTGATGAGACGGTGAGCCAATTGGTTGGCAGGACTGGCCCCTTCTTCTGTGCCCGGGGCTGGTGCTGACCCTCTGCCCCTCCTGTTGGCTGCAGGCAGGGCCTGGTCACCGAGCAGGTCTCACTGCACGTGCTGGTGGAGCGCTACCTGCCCCTGGAGTACCGGCAGCTGCTCATCCCCTGTGCATCCAGCGGCAACGCCGTGTTCCCCACCCAGTAGGAACCAGGCCTCCCTGCTGCCCTGCGTCTGCAGCCACTCCAGGTCCCCTTCTTTCTCCCACCCCCTCCTCAATAAAAGCTCACAAACAGACTGCCGTGTTTGGGTGCTCGTCCCTCCCTGGGTGCCCGTGCCCCCTTGCCGCTCCCCAGCCCAGTCAGGAGGCTGGCTGATTCAAACCAACATTGTAATATGGGGAGTCGGGGTCTGAGGGCCCTAGATGGCAGGCTCTGGCTCCGTGCGTGGCCCCGCCCGCCGGATGTCAGACACCCAAAGCCGGCTCATCACTGTCTCCAGCTGCGTCTTCAGGCCCTGCTCGTTCTCGTTGTCGCCCTCCATGGGCAGTTCTGTCACGGGGACCTGGAAGGCCTGGCTGACGTAGGTGCTCAGGGTCTGCGCGTCCAGACTGGGGTCGATCGTCCCCAGTGCCTCCCGGAGTCTGCCTGGGGTGACCTCCAGGCTGTGCCGGGAAGAGAGGCAGGCCTTGACTCCTCTGTACCAGCTGCTGGGCTCAACTCAGGGGCGTTTGAGCTGTCAGCCTGCAAGGTAGCCTGAGGCTCCCCAGGCACACTCACATTTCAGGACCCAGCTCCTGCTTCAGCTCCTGCAAGTAGGTCTCCTTCTCATCCACATACTGCTCCCACACCTTCTGGACAAAGGGCTCGCTCTGGCCCTCTTCATCCTACTGGGGGCCAGGGCCAGGGTGAGGGCTTGCTGGCCAAGCACCAGCCAGGGCTCAGGGTGGGGCTCTGCAAGGTCCAACCCCTCCCCACCCACCTCCTTAAACAGGGCCTGGTATTTGAACAGGTCGGCGTTGCTGCAGTTGGGGTTCCAGCCCCCAGCCTCCATCAGCTCCTGGATCTGCTCTTCCTTCTTGAGGGGGAAGGTGCTCCGCAGGATGGAGCTGTGAAGACGCGGGAGACCCACGGCCCACCTGAGGCGGAGGCCCGCCTCCCCAGCCCTGCCACGGTCAGCCCAGCCAGGGCTCTAAGCGGCAAAGGCTGAGGCTGGTGGCCTTTCCGGCCTGCCAGGTTCCCCGCATACCCCTGAGCCTGGGCAGAGGTGTGGCAGTGGCCTGGCCTCACCTGAAATTTTCCATGGACAGGAGTCCCTCGTTCTGGCTGTCGGCACTTGCCATCTCCCTCTGCAGCTGGGCTATGGTCTCCTTCTGGTAGATGTACACACTCTCCTTCATCTAGGGGAGGGGAGGGGCTTTGCTAGCTTGATGCTGCCTGCAGGGGTGGGTACCGGGTGGGTGATGGATGCCGAGGACAAAGGCCCCTCCTGCTCCCTGGTTGGGAGGGGTAGGGGGGCTGGCCAGGCCCAAGCTCACCTTTCCCATCAAAACTGCATAAAACTGACTCATGACCTCGTTGGAGCGGAAGAGCTTGATGTTTTCAAAAATGGTGTAGGCCCAGGCCATGGCTTCACTAGGCCCGAAGCGGCGCTCCAGGAAGTTGAAGAAGAAATCAGCAAACTTCTCTTTCTGAACAGCGAGGGGCGGTGAGGAGCCGTTGCCCAGGCAGCCCTTCCCGGGGGTCACTGGCCCTCCACCCTAGCCCCTCAAGGGGACTGCGCGGGGCCAGAGGGCCTGCTGAGGCCTGACCTGCTCCTCAGCAAGGCGTTCTTTCCAGACGTCTTGGAGAAGGTTTACCACCTCCATCTTGGTCGGCTTCTTGTTCTCCACGATGCCATCAAACCGGAGGAAAGCGGGGATGGCTTCCCCGTAGCCCTGGACGAGAGAGGGCCAGCTCGTCTGTGGCCCCACCTCTCAGCAGCCAGGGCCCCCGCCTGGTTCCTCCCTGACTCGGCTTCTCCATCTGGGGACTCCGCTACCAGGCCAGGGAAGTAGGCTTTCTCCCGCAGTAGCCCTTCGCCAATCTCTTCCAGCAGCACGTCCACCAGCTGGTCACTGTTCTTGCCTGCGGCCAGCATCTTCCAGCGATCTGTGCCCCCAGCCACCACGCCTGCCGGCAGGGAGAGAAAGCTACAATAGGAGAGGGCACTGAGGCTGGCCCTGGCCCCACCCCACCGGCCCTGCAGCCAGCCACGTGTACCTTCGCACTTGGTCCAGTCGGGCCTTGGCGTGGAGGTCTGCTGGATGTCCTGCAGCTCAGCGTGGAACTGGTCCCGCTCCTTCAGCGTGCTCATGTGCAGCTGCAGCAGGATCTCGTGTTCCTTGCAGACCTCATCGTAGTCCGCCTGCAGGCTCTCCAGCTGTGGGCGAGCTGATTGGGCCTACTGCCCCCACCCCACCCCAGCCTGGCCCTTCCAGTCACCCCCCAGCCTTAACCCCACCCCCGCCCTCCCGCACTTGCTCCTGCAGATCCTTGTTGGTCTTCTCCTGCATTTCAAAGTCCCTTCTGGGCACCACGTCGCCGAAGTTGGCCTTCATGGTGTTGAGCTCCATCTGTGTGCGCGTGAGGTCTTGCCGGGTCATCTTCAGGGCCAGCGTCAACTTCACGGGGTCCTCCCCCCAGATCCCTGCCAAGGGTACATCTGCCTGTGTCGGCTGAGCCCCAGAGCCCATGAACCGGGCTGGAACTAGGGTGCTCCCCAGAATGGGCCCAGGTCCTCCCGCTCTCCCTGCTGGGGGTCCCTGGGGTCTCGTCTGCAGCTCAAGTGGAGAAGGTTGGGATATGGAGAACTGTGACCCGCCCCCACCCTCGTCCCAGAAGTCCAGGCCCATGCAGCCTCCAGCACAGGGGGCCCCACAGCCCTAGGTGGAAGTCGGGCATCTCCCATCGCGCATGGGCCTGGGGCGGGCAGAGCTGAGTGGGCCGGGGTGAGTGGTGCCAGCTGAACTCCTCTCTCCAGGGCCATCTCAGGAGAGACGTCCACCTGGGGCTGACCTGGGGACTGGGCTAGTGACATGTCCTCCCTCTGATAGCGGAGCTCGTTCAGGTCCGCGAGGAGGATCTTGCGGGCATCTCGCTCAGTGAGGTAATGCAGGTATTCCTCAGCCAAGTTCTTCCTCAGCTTGGCCACCTGTGGAGAAGGTGGCTGTGTGGTTTGGGGCTGCCTTTGGACCCCTGCTCCCAGCAGCTAGTGACTACAGGGGATGGGTGGATGGGTGCTAGGGGGTCCCCCTCAGGTCGTGGGGACAGTAAAGATGTGGGAACCAGTTGGCCATCCCCCAGAATCCAGCGAGTCCTCCAGAAAGTCTGGCAGCCAAGGAGAGCTGGCTCCCAGCCCCACAGGAGGGCGGAGCGGTGGAAGCAGGAACTGGGGAGAAGCTGTGGCTTAGTATGGGGTTAAGGGGCCCCCCCAGTGTCTGAGACATCACGGGGTTGCCCCTGGGGAGGTGAGCAGGGCAGGCAGTCGTCACTGACCACTGCTCCCCACTCACCTCACTCTGCAGCGAGACCTTCTCCTCATTCTTCTTGTCGATCAGCTTGAGCAAGTGCATCTTCTCATTCTTGAGCACGGAGACTTCGTGCCTCTCCACGGCCCGCATGGCCAGCAGCTTCTCGTTGCAGTCCTCCTTCACGGTGACCAGCCTGGCCCTCAGGGGCTCCAGGGCCCGAATGGTCTCCCGCTGGTAGGCTGCTCGGGGGGTTGGGGTGGGGCAGGAGGCGGCTCCACGTGGGCCAGGGAGCACCAGCCACTGGGAGATGCAGACCCTGCAGCTGTGCCAACCATCTGCCCTTGTTTTAAGTCCAAGGCAGAGGCCAGGTGAGCCCCCACCCCACCCCTGCAGCCTTTAATCCTGTAGCCCTATCATGCGCTGCATCTGAGCCTGACGGGGGTGGGGTGGGGGGTGGGGGGCTCCTCACTTCCCAGAGGGTCTTGCTCTACACAGGAAGGATCTCGTTCCTATAGATCCTTCCCACGGTGCTTCCCAAGGAGCTCACTCGGTGCCTGGTGCCCAGGGCAGGTGGGCAGGGGGAGGGGGCTCTCAGAACAGTGTGACCGAGGGTGGAGCAGGCTTGGGGTCCTGGAGGCCTTTGGAGCAGCTACCCCAGCCCAGAGTTGGGTCCTCTCTGTCCCCTGCCGGCTGGAAGTCGCTGACTGCGGAGTGGGGAGTCGGGGCCCGCAGCAGGCCCCGTGTCTTACCCAGGGTCACCTCATATGCGTTCTTGATGGAGGACAGCAGCGGCTTGTACGTTTTGAAGTCCTCTATGAAGAACTCAAAGATCTCTCGGTAAGGCTGGCAAGGGAAGCGGACTTGTCACCTTCTGACCTGAGTGGGGGGCCTGGGTCTGTCCGTGGAGGCTGTGGTAGCTCCATAATTTGTTGTCAATTTGAGATTATTAAGAATGAAGGGGTGGAGTTTAGCCTATCAGGTCTCAGCTCGATGACCTTATGTGGAGGTGCGAAGGAGATAAATAGCTTGCTGGAGGCAGGACACAGACTCACTCCCTGGGAGATGCTCCTGTTGACAAGCTACATGGAGCTACACTGAAGGAGCCAGAGCCCTGGAGCTGAAGAAGCCACGTGGAGACCCATGCCAACACTCAGATGCTCCCACCGCCACTGGATCCACAAGACTTTCTACCCACTGGCCTGTGATCGTCCTGCATTCAGCGTCATTGCATACGTTGCGTGAGTCTGAAGAGGAATTTGTACACTGGTATCGGATTTTGGGGCTAATATCAGGACTTGAATTAGACTGGGATGTTTTCTTAATATATAATTTCTCTTGTATATAAAGCTCTTTCTTATGCACATGCGTGTCCATGAATTTGTTTCTCTAGTCTACTGGGACTAACAGTGGCTTAAAAGCATTCAGTCCGAGCGACCAGGGCCCTGCCCTGGGGTTCTATGAGGGTCTAGTGGAGCAGCTCTGCCCTCTGCTGGCTCCTCGGGCAGCTGCTCTGGGACGAATCCCATCTCTGGAGCTGTATGCTCTCTCCAAGCTTCCTTTCTGCTTGCCCCATGCTCAATCTGCGTTCCAAAAATGCTTCCCGTCAGAGCCGGGGCTTTTCTGTCTACCCTGGGATCTAGATCTTTCTCTGTCATTGATGTGCATGGGCTGCCTTTGCGAGTTTGGGCTGTCCTGAGGTGGACACTCTATGGCAGCAGTTTTCAACCTGTGGGTTGCGACCCCTTTGGGGGTCAAGTGACCCTTTCACAGGGGTCGCCTAAGACCATCGAAAAATACATGAATTTCCGATGGTCTTAGGAACCGAGACACTGCACCTCTATCCATCTCCAGGTGGGTCTGCCCACATGCAGATATGCCCACCTACGAGTACCCGGCGTGAAGACTGCTACCCATGCTGCACCATGCTTCAAGACAACATTTTATTGATTTGTAATTAGAAATAACAATGTCACAAAATATAATTACATATTGTTTTTGTGATGAATCACGATGCTTTAATTATGTTCAATTTGTAACAATGAAAATACATCCTGCGTAGCAGTTATGTACATGACGCTTCATAACAGTAGCAAATTTAAAGTTATGAAGTAGCAACAGAAATGTTAAGGTTGGGGGGTCAACACCACATGAGGAACTGTGAGAGAGTCGTGGCATGAGGAAGATTGAGAACTGCTGCTCTGTGGACACTGCATACTGGCCCCGCCCAAATGTCAGCTTTCCGGTTACCTGGGGGGAAGGCCTGGAGGGCCTGGAGTCAGTGAGTCAGTGTCTGGGCCCCCCTGACCCTGGTGGGGGAGGCGGGAGCCCTGGGAGAGTTTGTGCTCCAAAGACCTGCTTCTCTCACCAGGAAGGCGACCCCCAAAAGGGTTGGGTGAGGATGGTGTCCCGAGGCCTCTGTCTAGTGCTCCCGCCCTCTGTGGCTCTGACCTGCAGCCTCAGCTCCTGAGTGGAGTCCGAGCACAGGTCCAGCAGGAGGAGCTCCTTACGCAGGTGGTTTTCCAGCTGCTCCAGGTACCTTGGCTTGGTCATGTTCAAGGGCTCTTCCTTCTGGGCACTGCAGGGCGTGTGCTGTGCTGAGGTGAGGCGAGCACCCCGCAGGGCCCTGGCGCCCCTGCCCTGTCTCCAGGCAGATGCCCCACTCACCGGGGGCCTGCCCTTGCCTTACCTCGCTAGCTTCTGGTAGTCCACTGAACAGGGCTTTCGGTTTGGCAAAATGGTCCGGCCGTAGATGTGCATGGGCCATGGGGACAGGTGGCTGCCTATGGAGAACTGAGGCTGCGGAGAGGCACACGGGTGGGATCATCCTGGCAACATTGCCCTCCAGATGGTTGTCCCCCCCCCCCTCCCCTACTCCCAGGATGTTTGGCGCCATCTCTTTAATTTGGTTCATCGTTCAGGCTGCTTTGTGTGTTGAAATCATTCCATATCCAGGTCCTAGGAGCCCTGCAGGCTCAGGGTGACAGGTTCGGGCCCCTCCTGGTGTGGGAGCCAGCCTCACTGGGCTCTCTTTTGACATGGTCCTCTCTCTTTGGTGTTCTGTATACTTTATCTCGACCTCAGGACCGACCGCTCATTCTTTCCCTACATATTGATGAGAGGCACATACCAAGCCTTGTGCCGGCTCCTGGGGGGCCACGCCAGCCTTCTGAAGGGACTCCGGACTAACCGGTCTCTGTCGGCCCAGATCGACGGCACTCTCCTTCACACTCTTGGCAGCACCAGCAAAGGCAGGGGGATCAACATGCGAGGATGCACAACAGTTGAGCATCAAAACCAAACTCACTGCCATCCACTCCGTGCTGACTCTCTGCGACCCTGGCAGGGCAGGGTAGAACAGCCCCGGTGGGTTTCTGAGGCTGTTAACTCTTTGCCGGAGTAGAGAGCTTGGTCTCTCCTCCGTGGAGCGGCTGGTGGGTTCAAACGGCCGATCTTAAGGCTAGCAGACCAACGGGTAACGACTGCACTATACACTCCCAGGACTCCTTTAATTTAGTTAGCATCAAAAAAGTATCCTGAACACCCAAGTGGTACTCAGGGAGCCTAGATGTCTGCGTGTGCCTTTCCCACTGTCCTAACTGCTGGTTACTCTATGTCTGTCCGGGGAGGGCTGCACTACCATAGAGCTTGCCACAGCTGACATGTGGAAGCAGATTGCCAGGCGTGTCTGCCGAGGCACCTTGCATGGACGCAAACCTCCACACGGTCAGTAAGCAGCGGACTGTGGTAACTGTACCACCCTGGGGGCAACCCCCAGATTAACCTGTGTTGGAGTCAAGAGCCTAAAGCCCACCTATCAGACAAAGCTACACAGGGCTTTGTGAAAAAGCATGAAGGTGCTGGCCTCAGGAGCCACACACAGGCCCACCTCAGACGGTTGTGCTACACAGAGAGGGGCATTTCTGGCAAACTGGCTCTGTGGCCACCCTTGCTTTGAGCAAGTCTGGGGCCACTGTGGGTCCACCAGCATGCGCTCATTTTGTGTCTGGGTCCTACTTTGGCCGGTCTCACAGATTGCCGACATTTTCATCCCGCAGTTGTGCGCTTAAAGTTGATCCCAGTCGAGTGTGGACATCACGGACAGATGCATTGGGAAAGAGACCGCAACACTGTGTGACTCGCTTTCCTACGGTGGCCTGGGCTCGAACTCCCCATCTCCCGAGGGCTGCCTGTGAGCGGTCATGACAGGTGAACATATGTATACAATGCTAGAAGAACAGGTGTTTTCTGGAATTCGTTTTATTTCTGTTGTGGAGCACATACACAGTGGAACCTGTACCAGTTCACCAGCTTCTGTCTGGGGCATTCCGTGAGCTGTGCCACCGTCCTTGCCCCTCCCCTTCGGAGATGTTCCTCCCTCATCAAGACAGACTTGATCCCTCGGGCTCCTCTGGGACCTTGGATCCCATACAGATAGAGCTTGGAAGAGAAATGCCCAAAGCAGACATTCTCTCAGGCAAACCTGCTGTTTGGTTTGAAGAGGACTTCCAGGGATATGTTCGGTTCAAGGATTAGCCTCCGTGTGTCCTGAAAAGTCTGGATTCCCTGAGAATTTGAAATTCTGTTTTGTAGCCCCCCACCACCCCGACCCTGCTTTTGATACTCATAGTGGTCCTGATGGGCGGGGTCGAACTGGCCCTGTGGGCTGAGGCTGCAACTCGTCACTGGAATGGAAGGCCTCCTCTTCCTCCACTGGAGCCGCCCGATGTGTAGCCAGCCCGGCAGCAGGCCTCCTCTGATTTAGCATCAAAGGCATAATAAGCACCACAGTGGTGTTATTCAAGGAGTCTAGAATACGGTGACCAGATTTAACATTGGTAAAGTGGTAAAGATTTTAACATTGGTAAAGTGGGGCACCATTGATAAAACTCATATCTTGGCTAAACAGCCACATGGCAGCTGAAAACCATATACCCTAGCTTGTTGTGGATTCTTTCCAAAAATCGGGACTTTTTAAAAACACCGCGGGACGTGGGAAAAATTGTTAAAAATCGGGACTGTCCCGCCAAAAGCGGGACGTCTGGTCACCTTAGTCTAGAACAATCTTTTAACACATGTCCCCAAACAATTCTATCTCACGTAGAAGGTCTTAACATCTTTGCAAACCAGAAACCACCTCGAGGTTACTGGCACATGGGATGACCAGAGGAGCTGATGGTAAATTCATAGTCTCCTGGTATGCTGTTTATGAAAAATGCAACGTATGTAGAAATCGTGGTAAAGCGGTATGTCCATATTGATTGGAACGCGGCCTGAGCAGTGCTGGTAAGACCTTTATTTATCTCGCTTAAACTACTTTCCTATTGTGGAAAAGGACGACCACGCTGCAGGAGAGCAGGAAAACAATGAACCAGAAATCAGAGCAGCAGTGGAGGCATTGGGAACATGGAAGAGATCAAAGTGTTAGAACTAAAACTAGAAACAGCTCTTGGAAAGACTAGTAAAATGGAAACTCCATCCACAGAGGAGTCAGATCAAACCTCTGGCAGACTCCCTGTAGCCACAGGCAGGGGACTCAGGAGAAGATAATTGCAAACTTGATTAGGGAGGATCAAACATGGTATGATGTGACCTCTCAGCTGACCTTCCTCTTGACCCAACCTGAATTGGTTCTAGGCTCAAGTATTTCTTGCATGTTCCACGACAGGAATTTCTTCTCTGGCTTTTAAGATTGATGGTGGTCTTTACTTTTTAACTCTTTAATCTTTATATTATTATTATTATTTTCTTCCTGTTTTATTGTTTCTGTGGGTCCCCCAAGTTAGTGAAGCACAGGAGTGGAAGCATGGAGACAATAACTGGCCTGATGGTTTGTTGGGGATGTGGAGGTGGGGTGGGAAGTGGGAAGTGTGAGGGGACTGGGGGAGCAAACAATGAATGTGGGAGGGAACCAAAAACGGACTGTGATATTCTATACAACTCATTTAAAAGCAATTTAACCAAGAAGTATGTGATATGTGAATACTATATCAAGAGCACTACTTAAGAAAAAGGAACCAGACTTGACCATGGGTGAAGGAGAAAGAGTTGTTGCTTAGGCAGCATTGAGTTCATGCTAACGGTGGTGGAACAATTAGGAAAAGGATATCAATAATGGTTGTACAACACGAAGAGTATAGTCAATGGCACGGAATTACACAAGTAGAAGTTGTGGAATTGGAGAATGCTTTGTTGTGCATATTTTTGCCAAAATTAGGAGAAAAAGAATTACATGAATTGCGATGAATCCAAGGAAGAAAAAAAAGTTCTAGAATTGAATATGGTGACAATTGTACAACTCTTCTTGATACGATTGAATTGTTGTATCGTATGGCATGTGGATGAAGTGCTAATAAAACTGTTAAAAAACGGGGGTAAGAAAAGAAAGACTATTAAAATGGGTGTGATTTTTATCAGAGTAACCATGGCAGAGGCCTGGGAAAATTGCCAGAGAAGCGTCTAACCCTGAAAGAAAGGCCAATCCTGGCGTTCCGTGAGCCATTTTTGCCCACAGTTGACAGGGTCACCCGACTCTGACGCGCAGGCCAGTGGTTCACAGCGCTGGTCGGCCTGGTCACGAAGGCCTGCTCTCTGCTGCCGCCCACAGGTGGAAATGGGAAGGGCAGCCCTAGGGGCTCCAGGGCAGTGAGGCCAACAGAGGACAGAGCAGGTGAGGCCAGGCCACAGCTTCCCCCAGTATTCATTCCCACGTGCGGCAGGTGGGGGTTGGGGGTGGGGTGTCACACCAAGTCAGGGGATATTTGCAAAGAGTCCACGTTGTCTCTTTCCCTCCTGGAGTAGGGATTCCCTACATTGAGAATCCCCAGCCTTGTAAAATATGTACGCCAAATCCGCCAAAGAGTGGGGGGACACACACACCACTACCACCAGCACCGGCAGCCCCACACAGCTGGAGTTAGACATTTGCTCACGTGTGTGTTTTCATCTGTGAGCTTCAGCAAATGGCTGTTCATTGATTCAATCATAAGAATTGCCAAAAGGCGAGCCGGTGTTCAATACAACTGTGTTCTTTTCTACATAAAAATGCTCACGGCCAGGAGAGGAGGGGCCTGGGGAGGCGTGTCAACCTCCAGCCCCCAGCCCACACTGAGACGGGGAAACACCCCACTACAAGCTCCCAGCTTTCGCCAGCTGCTCGCCCTAATATTCCATCAGGCACAGGGGCCACAGTGGAGCAAAGCAGGGTCTCAGCCCGGGAAGTCCTCAGTGTGAATAGCTGAGCACCCAGAACCGTGCCTGGCATCCTGTGCAATGCTGAGCTGCAGGGGAAAGCTACCTGCGGGCAGGGACCCCAGTCTCTTTCTCCTGGGGAGGCCAGTAAACACACACGCATGCACACACACGGGTGCTGAGCGTGGTGGGCTTGGCCTCTGACTGGGGCCAGGCAGCGCTGGTGAGTATGTTTCAGGGGAGTGGTGCTTTGGGGGAAGTAGACAGGGTCCTGGTGCTGACGTGTGAGGTGTTGGTAGCACGCCACCACTTACCAGTGTCTTCCGTTTCTGAGAAAGCTTACATTTCAGGATGCTCTTGGCTTCTTGGGTAAATGAGCCGTTTTGGTCCATCTCAGAAGGCGTCCGCTGTGGCTGTGCTCTGAACAGAGGAGAGGGAGGCTGTGGTGGGTGACAGCTAGGAGTGGGAAGAGCCCCTGGAACCCCTCACATTCCCGAGAGATACTGGCTCTGGGCCTAAACCACTTTCCTACCTTCTTGGAAGCCTCCTCCTCCTCAGCAGAATCGCACCAACTCCTACAGTAACGGCACCTTCCCTCCCACAAGCCCAGCGAACCCTGCAGGCCTGCTCTTCTCTTCAGGCGGCAATGATGGTTTCCTGGACACGAGTTGGCCACACTCTTGGGGAATCCGTGTCTGTTTCAGAGCCCTCCAAGACCCATAAGTCCCTCACAGCCATCCTGTGGGTTTCTGAGATTGTAACTCTGCTTCTTTTCTTTTATTATAAATAAATCATTTGGGTGGGGGGGCTCTTACAGCTTTTACAACAATCCATACATCAATTGTATCCAACACATTTGTACATACATTGCCTTCATTATTTTCAAAATATTTTTTTTCTGTTTGAGCCCTTGCTATCAGCTCCTCTTTTTTTCCTGGACTTCCCCCACCCTCCCACCCTCATGGACCTCTGATAAATTATAAAGTATTATTTTCATAAGAGACTGTAACTCTTTACAGGAGTAGAAAGCTCTCATCTTTCCCTCGAGGAGCGGGAGGTGGTTTTGAACTGCTGACCTTGATGTTAGCAACTCAATGTGTGACCACTGTGCCATCAAGGCTCCTCGCAGTCACAAATGTGTGTCCTAAATCACTCACATTCTTCCTCAACCTGCTGCCTGGTCCTGGTAGGCTTGTCAGACGGCTGGATAAAGTCATCCAATTGGCTTTGAAGGCCCTGTGCCTTGATAGGCTTTCTCACTGGAAGCAGCAGACCTTGAAGAACAAGACTTGGGAGAGCTCAGGGGTTTTGCAGGGGGCAAAGAAGGGGACACATTATCCATTCCACATGTGCTGACTGCTTATTACGGGCAGCTTCCGTTTCTCATGTCCTGCCCAAGAAGGTGGGGACATTTGAGATCTTGAAGCTCAGGCCCTGAACTTTCCAGCCCTTCTCTGAAGTCCCCAAGCTAGCAAGGGTAGTTGGTCAGCATTTCTGTTCTAAGCCATATTCTCTGTGGTCCATGGAGCTTACTGTCTATTTTGATGTCCAAGTATTTGGCCACTAACTTCCAAGGTCAGCAATTCAAACCCACCATGGGTTTGGGATGAAGATAAGACCTAGAGTCTTAGAAACCCCAGAGGGCAGTTCTATCCTGTCCTACAGGTTTGCTAAGAGTTGGAGTCAACTTGAAGGCAGCGGGTTGGCTTGTTGGTAGAGGCTGTACCTCTGAGTGTGGCAGGTACTCCGAGTGGCCGTGGAGGCACCTGGGCTTGCTAAGGCGCAGCTATCACTTGATGTGGATCTTTCAGTAAGCCAAGAAGCAGTTTATTCTTGTAACCAAGAGTTGAGCTCCTGGCGTCTGACAGGGCAAGGAACCCCAGTAGCAGGGTGGGTGACGAGTTGGGCACCGAAACTCCAAGTTAGTAGTTTGAAACCACCAGCTGCTCTGAGGGAGAACGATGGCGCTTTTGACCTCTGTACAGAGTTACCATGGTGGAAACCCTCAGGGCAGTCCCACTCTGTCCTGTAGAGTTGCAATGAGTAAGGAGGGGCTCGATGGCAGTGAGAGGTTCACCCCCGAGCGACACTACTCCTCTCTCCCAGCTTCTGCTCATTTGTAAAAATGGTGATATTGTTACCACCTGGGGTCCTCGTGAAGAGCCTTGGTAGCATACTGGTTATATGTTGGGCTGGTAACTGCAAGGTCAGCAGTTCAAAGCCACCAGCTGCTCTGTGGGAGAAAGTGGGGACTTTCTGCTTCCATCCAGAGTTACAGGCTTGGAAACACAGAGGGCTAGTTTCACCCTGTCCCATAGGGTCCCTATGAGTCAGAGTGGACTGGACAGTAGCAATGAGTTTGGTTAGACTTGGTAGGGTCCTTGTGAAGAGCCTTGTAGGTGTAGCAGGTTAGGTATGCACTGAGCTGTGAACCGTAAGATCAGCGGTTGAATCCAGCTAGGCAGAGATGAGCTTCCATAAGCACTTAGGGAAACTCTCAGAGGCAGCTTTATTCTGCACCATAGGGTCCACCGTACGGAGGAGTTGACTCAATGGCAGTCACAGTTGTGGAAGGGACTACAGGGCCATAGTCCGGTAAGCATTGGACTGCTAACCATAGATGGACTGGTAACCAGAAGGTGGAAGGTTCAAACCTGTTCCAAGGGAGAAAGATGAGGCTATCCTGCTCCTGTAAGAATTTACAGGCTTAGAAAGTCTGGGGCCCTACAGGCTAGAAGTGACAGGCAGTCAGGTGGGGAGGTTGTGTAAGGAGCCCTGGAGTTGTTGGAGGGTGAGCGCTGGGCTGCTCAAGGTAAGGTCAGCGGCTCTGGGGGAGAAAGACGAGGCTGCCTGCTCCCATCAAGATTTATAGCATCAGAAGCCCTGCATTGGGTCCCTATGAGTCAGAGTGAAATTGATGGCAGTGGGCTTGGGTTTAGGGGTGTTGTGCGGCCTAAAAGTGGTATCTAAAGCCCTGAAACCCACTGTCATTGGGTGGAAGGGCTCCTTTCTGGGGTTTCCAAGACTGTCAATCTGTCTGAGTAGACATCCTCATCTTTCTTTCCAGGAGTGGTGGGTTTGACCCAGCCCTGTGCTTAGCCCAGGAGAGCTCCTTTATAAAACCCCAACCGCATACACATGAAAATACTTAATACAAGGCTGGGTCTTCCAACTAGTGATCAACTGTCCCTGATTTTTGCTAGCACATAACGTCCTCCTGGGGCCAAGTCAGCCCGGATTTTAGCTGTTTCTGGCCGGCTGCGCAGGTGGCGCTGGAGCCCCAGGCCACTGGACCAGCAGGAGGTGCAAGCTTCAGGCCCAGACGCCACCTCCCCGTTCCGAGGGAGTCATGCTCTCTCTGGGGGTCTCGGCCTGGCAGGCGCCTACCTCGATAGGGGCGAGTAGCTCGAACACCACGGCTTCGGGTAAGCCATTGCCCTCGGGCCGTCTGGCAGCCAGCAACCGCGGCCTGAGAAACTGCAGTAGTGTACAGCCTGTCGTCATGGCGACCGGACCGCAGCGGCCCAGCTGGAAGGGCGGAGTCAGGCATGCGCGCGCCAGGTCCTCAAGCCCGGCGCCTGCGGGCTGGGAAGAAAGCCAAGTAGCAAAGGTGCACTCGGGCCCTCAAAGTTAATCACTGCAGCGTGTCCGACCCCAGCTACTAGAACTGAGCCAGGGGGCAGGCCAGGGTGGTGGTGGCTGGGGTCCGCAATAGTCCCGAGGGAGGGAGGGATAAGGGAGCGCTTGGAGCCACTTGGCTGGTGGGAATTGTAGTTTTCAGCGCCCGAAGACTGGGTTGAACGGGCTTACGGCCGAGCAGATCTGGACTACATCTCCCGAAGTTCCAGAGCAGCCCAACTTGGGCCGTCCGTCGCGAGCTCTGCATTGTGGGATATGAAGTCCGAAGATGTGGCAAGGCGTGCCCCCGTCCAGAGAGAGATGCCAGACCCAGACTCGGTTTCCCTGCGGTCCACGCCGGCTCGCTGGCTATTGGCTGAGCGGGGCGGATCTGGTCCCGCTTCTCCCCGCCTCCCAGTGACACAATAGCAGCTCCCTCCAAGATGGCGGCGGCGACGGTGGACCCGGGAGCTGGGAGCCCGCAGGCTGGAGCTTCCTCCGGCGGGGGCGCCGGGGGCGGGCTGCCATCCCCGGGGGAGCAGGAGCTGAGCCGGCGCCTGCAGCGCCTCTACCCCGCGGTCAACCAGCACGAGACGCCGCTGCCGCGCTCCTGGAGCCCCAAGGACAAGTACAACTACATCGGCCTCTCGCAGGGCAACCTCCGCGTCCACTACAAAGGTATCGGACCGTGCCGGCCGCGGCGGGGGGAGAGGCTGGAGCGCTTGCGGGGCGGCTGTGTTGTCCAGCCTCCGTTCCTTCTCGTTCCGTCCTCGGCCTCAGTGCTCCCGGTTGGGCCTTAGCTACTGGGTGTCCAGGGTGGTCGGCTGACCAGGCCGAGGCTTGACCGGCCGCTCTGCCCTGCGGGGAGAAACCTGAGGTCCAGTGACCTGCAGCAGGTGTCCAAACCCGTGCACAGCTGGACCTTCCTCTGGAGGGCTGCCCAGCTTGACCTGGGCTGCCTCCAACTCCAGCGGGGTCTTTGCCCACTTGTTAGTTTCAGGAGTGTCTGAAGGAAAGGGTGGGGCAATCCCATCCCCACCTTGAGCCCCAGACCCAGGCCGCTTGCTCTCTAGCCAGGCATCCCCCACCGGACCTGCGATTGTGCACTTGCCTTTAAGTGAGGGGCTCCCTCACTTCGTGCGGGTGACCTGGTCGGTCGCCTTCCCACTGGCCTCCTCGGTAGGCTCCCTGGATTCCGGGGAGGCTGCCAGCGGCGTGGGGAATCGCTCACGCGCACCCACCAGCGTGTGCCCTCATTTTTGTCGGGGAGACAGTGTCTCAGGCAGAGCTGCTGTTCTCCGGAGGAGGTGAGGCGAAGGTGGGAGGCTTACATGGCTGTTCTGCTATTACCTAATATCCCTTGAACCACCCCAAAGGATTCCTCTGGCCACGCAGGAGCAGGCCTGGGAGCTCTGCTGGAGTTGCCAGGGGGCAGGGGCACAGGGGGCGTCCATGTGCATTTCCTTCTGCTCCCATGTCTTCCTTGCTCCCTCCTCTTAGGTCACGGTAAAACTCACAAAGACGCGGCCTCAGTGCGCGCCACCCATCCCATCCCTGCCTCCTGTGGCATCTATTACTTCGAGGTGAAGATTGTCAGCAAAGGAAGAGACGGGTAAGCCTCCGGTTGCCGTCTTTTTTTTTACCCCCCAGCCTTTGCCCTGTGGCCAGAGTCACAACCCTGGTGGTTACTGGGAGCTGGGGAGCTACTGTGGGGTGGTGACCAGTCGTGTCCTCTGGGTCTGGGCTGCCACGGGGTGGGGGTGAGGGGGGTGGCATGGGGGAGTGCCTCTGATGGTCAGTCGGTGGGTTGGGGCTGGAGAGGGGACTTCTGTTAAGTGGGGGTGTAATGAGATACCGCCCAGGTCAGGGAGACAGGTAAGGAGAGTTGACATTAACAATTCAGAGACCAGAATGGGGTTTCCCCCGGCTCGAGGATGGTGTCTGTGACTTCCCTCCTTTCAAGTCCTTGCTCAGTTCACGGCTCTTTTTTTTTTTTTTTACGGTGTTTAGTCACGTGGCAGCCCCACCAGACTTCAAAGAGAGAGTAGAGTCCTTGACGTGTTCATCACGGTGGCCGCCCCTGGCCTGTCATTTCAGGGTAAACAACACGCACATGGTCAGAGTCAGGTGACCTTGCTGCTCATAAACTTGTTTTTCAGTCCAGGGCCATGAGCACCAGTTGGGCCAGCTAGAGGAAGGGCCTCATTAAAGGCAGCCTCAGGGACACACCCTCTTTTTGGGTGACCTAAACAGACACAGAGGAGCCCTGGTGACACCCTGCTTAAGCACTTACCTGTGTACCCGGTGGTTGGCAGTTTGAACCTCCCCATCATAGCAGGAGAGAAAGCCGAGGCATTTCGCTCCCCCCTTGCAGTGCTTCAAGGACCGGTTCTCCTCTGCCTTGGGGGTCAGCATTGACCAAGCAGCTATGAGTTTGGAAACCAAATGCATGGCCACGGAGTCAATGCCGACTCATAGCAAGCCGGTAAGACTGGCTGGAACTGCCTCTGCCAGTTTCTGAGACTAACTCGATGGGAATGGACAGCCTCGTCTTTCTCCAAGGAGTGGCTGCTCATTTTGAACTGCTGGCCTTGTGGATCATAGCCCAACGTGTAACCACTAGACCACCAGGGCTCCTGGGTTCCAAAACAGACGCAGGCAATCGGGGAGACTTCCTACTTTTCTTCTTCATTCCACCCCCCCTTCTCCCTGTGAAGTGTTGGAATGCCAGGGCTACAAGGGCCCCACAAGGTTTTCCCAGGCGCCTAGTGACCTTCATGCCAACCCCGAGTGTGTGCGCTCCAGGGCTTGGAGCCCTTCCTCTCGCCCAGGGACAGCCCCCCTCGTGGTGCATGCACAGGGCCCAGCTGCAAGCTTTGCTGGGGGCAGGGCTGCCAGAGGCTGAGCTAGCCTGCTTCCCCCAGTGACATCATCATCCCCTGCCTGGGGAGGGCCGTGTGGCTTTGGGGTGGCCTGGGGCTTCCATCTCCTTGTTGGCGTGGTGGGGAGCTCGGCCGACATCTAAGCTGCCTCTTCACTCCAGCCTTCTCCCATTCTGGAAGTGTGATAGCGGGAAGCCGTTGCCATCGTTTCTCTCTTACCTGCATCTAGTCCATTTTCACAGGTGGTTAGGTGCTGCCCGTTCAGTCTTGACCCCTAGGGGTCTCCTGTGACGGAGCAGAACCACCCTGTGGGGTCTTCTGGACCGTCCTCTTGGCGGGAACAGATCACCAGCTCTTCCTCTGGCAGAGCTGCTCGGTGGATTTGAACCCCCAGCCTTTCGGTTAGCAGCTTCACCGTGCGCACTCAACCGCTGGGCCCCCAGATAGATAGGAAATGCACGTTACTGACGACCTTCGAAAATCCCACCACCTAATAAACACCCACATTGGTTCAATGTCCCCAAACAGTACTAGGGAGAGTCATCTCTGGAAACCCCACCCCCCACTGGTACCTTGTAGGTTGGTGTTAGTGTTGGGTATGGACAGAGACCCCGGAAGGCATGACTGAACTTTGTGTGTGTGGGGGGGGCGGG